CTGGAAAGACAAGTTACTAGGTCTTTCCAAAGGAGAAAATATTTATATATTACCTGTGATATTCATATTTTTAGTATAGCATGCTGCCCTTTCAGAAGAGAACAGAAAGAAAAACCACCACAAGCCAACACCTAAAAGTAGGCTCTTTTCTTTAAAAAATGTTCTTAGTGTGTATAAGCACTAAATGTAATTTTATATTCCCTTTAAAAATAGGATTGTGTTCTTTTTTAACACAATTTTAATATTTAATGCTTTTTTTTTTTTGTCTTTTTGAGACAGGGTTTCCCTGTAGTCCCAGCTGTCCTGGAACTCGCTATGTAGACCAGGCTGGCCTTGAACTCACAAAGATCCACCTGCCTCTGCCTCCCAAGTGCTGGGATTAAAGGCGTGCACCACCATGCTAATAAAAGTATTTCTGTTGTTATTAATTAGTGGTAGCATTAAGCCTGTTTGAGACTACGGTTTTCAATGGCTATTCAATAAACAAGAGAAGTGCACCAGACTTTACAAGCAGGAGTTCTGACTTCTCAAAGGCATTGGACTTAGCTCTCTGGAAAGATGCCAGCTTAACAGCGATGGAAACTGGTTACTGAGGCAAAGCATGCCTGCTGTGGACCAAGGTGGGAACCCTGGACTTGACAACTTTTAACTAGAGCCTGTACCCTCTTTATATTCAGCTCTTTTCATGTCCTACCCTAAAAGGGACAGAAGTGTTTTAGGCCAGAATCCAATTAGTAACCCTGAAAACATCCTTTTGGAAGATTTCTTTCTTTCTTATCTGCAAGGAAGGACAGTGATTTCAAACTACTAATGAAGGAACTGGAGCTTGTTAAATACTTCAGGCACTACCCTAATAAACTCCCTGCATCTTAATGAGTCCAGGCAGCTGTAGTACCCACTGCAGCCAGAGGGCACTCTGAAGGGTTATACAGGAAGATCCATGAAGACAGGGCCATCAATTACACAGTGAGCCTAAACACAAGCTACTTAGGATGCCTGAGTGTAGAACTCCAGTTAGGAACTCTCTCTCTCTCTCTCTCTCTCTCTCTCTCTCTCTCTCTCTCTCACACACACACACACACACACACACACACACACACACACAATGTAAGAGCCGGCCTCAGTAAAAATAGTGTGCTTTAAAAGAAAATAATAAATCACTGAGCATAAACACTTTTTGAAATTCTCTTGGCTTTAAAAATACGCCCAATGGGTTTTAAATTCCCAGGAATGACAAATGCATAGGAAGTGGTTTAAGTTGCCTTCCTTGAGTGTTACTTTCAAAGGCCATTTGTCAATGGAGACATGGAGGGAAGGACTGAGAGGGAGTGACAGGCATAAAATGAAGGCGAAATTCTTCCTATCTGAGCACAGCTATTTGCGTAGAAAAGGAAACCACCTGCCAAAGGTACAAGTGCAAAACACCAGAAACCCTTTGATCACAACCATTTTCTCCACAGGCTCTTCAAATAGTACTTGTCTGTAATAAGGTAACAAACAGTCCAGCCTGCAACTATTAATACTCAAATCAATAACCCAGGATACACTCTATATGCAAAATACCCTCAAAAAAGATTCCCCCATTCCCCAGGGGAAGGGTAACTCAGTGGGTAGAGTGCTTTGCCTAGCATGCACAAAGCGGGGGGTTAGATCCCCCAGCACCACATAGAATCCAGGCATGGTGGTCCACACTCACAATCCTAACATCTCAGGAGGTGGAGGCAGGAGGATCATCTTCCACTACACAGTGACTTCAAAGTCAGCCTGGGCTACCAGACCTGTCTCAAAAAAACAAAAACAAGCCTGGCGTGGTGGCACACGCCTTTAATCCCAGCACTCGGGAGGCAGAGACAGGCGGATCTCTGTGAGTTCAAGGCCAGCCTGGTCTACATAGTGAGTTCCAGAACAACTGGGGCTACAGGGAGACCCTGTCTCAAAAAGATCAAAAACAAAACAAACAAAAACAGAGGCTGGAAATGGCTCAGCGGTTAAAATCACAGGCTGCTCGTGCAGAAGACTTGGGTTGGGTTCCCAGCACCCACATAGTGGCTGAAAACCGTTCTTAAAGTCAGTTCCAGGGGCTTCGATGCCTTCTTCTATTCCCACAGGCATTGCACGACATGGGTGCACTTACACACACGCAGGCAAAATACCCACATAAAATAAAAAATTTAAACTCCAAAAGCAAAAAACAAAACAAAACAAAACAAAAAACCAAACAAAACCCCGCAAACATCTGGAAGGCACCCAAAGGACTCCATGCCACCGGCTATGGCCAGAAGAAGAAAAAACCCCTAATATTAAAAAATATTTTAATGGGTGAATTCAACTCCTATACCAACTTCCCAAAATATTTGCTTCTACTGGAAAAAACAACAAACAACAAACAAAACCCAAAGGTGCTTACGGATGGAACACACTATGTGCTTCCGAGGTCCCCATTTAACCCTCCCACGTGGTGCTGGCCAGCCTCGGCTCACCGGCACTGTCCAGGCCCTGGCTATCTCGGACACCAGTTTGCAGCCCTCGGATGGGGTGAATTACCTCCTGCCGCTACCCCGAGAACCGCAGTATCCGCACCTCTGAAGCACCCGGGCTCTGGGAGACAGACCAAGGAGGGGTGGACAGAGAGGATGCAGTGTAGACGGTGCAGTGTAGACGGAGGAAGAGGGACGCCGGGGTGACAGTCGCCGTAGCCAGCAATTGTTCAAAAGAACACCCGGGGTGGGGGTGGGGGTATGGGACGGCGGGGCCCCGGCCCTCCCTCTGCCCCGGCCCGCCCTGGCCCTCGGGCCGCGGCCGGATGGAACCCCGGGCCCCGGAGGAGGCGGAGTCCGCCGAGGCTGCGGGGAGCGCCGCTCGGGCCCCGACGCTCACCCGCCGGCGAAGAGGTGAAGCAGCGTGTTCTCTTTCTGCTGAGCGCCCGTCGCCATGGCCGCGCCGGCTCGGCTGCCAGCCGCCGCTCGAGAACGCGCGAGGACCGCTCGGTGTCCTCAGGCGGCCCGCAGCGCGCCCCTACAGGCCCCGCGCTCCCGCGGCCTCCCCGGCGTGGCCGCCGGCCTCTCCGCGGCCTCTGCGGCGCGAAAGCGGCGCGCTGGGCGGGCCTAGGCCGTGGAGTGGCTGGCGGGGACGTGGCTCGCTGGGTCCCGGCTTAGAGGTTGGGTAAACTTGCTGCGACCAGGCCCCACGTCCCAGGCCTCGCCTCATAAAACATTTTCTTTTACATTTATTTATTGTGAGTGTTACTTATTGTGTGTGGCGGTGTTGTGGGAGTGCGCGTGGTAGAGGACACCCGTTCCTCGGGACTCGAACTCAGGTTGTTAAGCTTGGTTTTGCAAGCGCACTCACCTCTGAGTCATCTCACCAGCCCGCTAGGCCTCACCTTTTTTTTTTTTTTTTTTTTGGAACCTTATTTATTTATTTTTTGGTGTTTTTTGAGACAGGGTCTCCCTGTAGTCCCAGCTGTCCTGGAACTCACTATGGCCTTGAACTTACTGCCTCTGCCTCCCAAGTGCTGGGATTAAAGGTGTGCGCCACCACACCTGTCAATATTTTATTTTTTTAAGTATATTTTTTAAAAGTTTGTATGAGAGTTATGCCTGTGTGTATGTTAAGTGCACCTGTCTCACATACAATGTCCAAAGAGGTCAGAAGACAACGTAGATCTCCTGAAACTGGAGTTACAGATGATTATTAGCCACCATGTGGGTGCTGGGAATCAAAACCAGGTCCTCTGCAAGAGCATCCAGTACTCTTAACTGCTGAGCCTGATAAAATATTTTTTTAAAAAAGTAGTTTATTTTGTGGGCTGGAGAGATGGTTCAGTTGTAAAAGGCTCAGGCTCACATCCAAAAACACATGTTCATTTTGTGATATTTACATATGCAAATCAGCATTCAAATGACATATTTTACATCTCATTTCCATGCTCTCATCCAGCTTAAACAAAAAACAAATACATGATCTAAAGAGCTTGCTTTCCCCCAGTACATCCCTAGTATCATTTTGTGTAGTTTTTTTCTTTCTACAAATAGTATTATATTCATTATATATTTTTCAGTGTGCAGTTTGTCCTGTCCTGATCATTTCCAGCACAGTTTGAGAGATTGAGAGATGCAAGCTGCCACCCTGCTTACATGTTTTTGATCACTGACACACTATGCCTGGCATCTTCTTACCTCTCCAGCTGGCTCTGCCTAGGCCTTGCCTGATCACCCTGGCAGCACTCTATGTCTCTGCTGAACTGCCTCACGGGTGCGTGTGCTCCACCTTCACTCTACTGATTTATTTACATTGTCTTCACCCTGGAATCTGAGCTTCATTAGAACAGGGACCTTGTTTTTTGATCTTCATGTGTTGGTCCTGGCAGATTGTTCCTGACACAGTACCTGCCACCTAGTATTGCCCAAAGAACTAATGAATAAATGTCCCAAGCTGAGCTATCACTCTACCCCTCCCCCATACCTGCTCAGCCTCTCCTCTTTCCTGACGTGGTGGTGACTTTGCATTCTGTACAGTCACCAAGGCTACAATTCCTTGAACTGACTTTCTCCCTCTCTTTCTCTCTCTCTCTCTCTCTCAGACACACATTCCCTCCCTTCCCTTCTCTCAGCAACCCACCACCACTCTGGCACTCTCCCCCCTACAATTCTCCAAACCCATCCCTTTCTGTTCCCTCCAATACCACTAGGGATTTCAGATCTTTATATGTCTAACCCACTTGGTAGCAAAAACTGTCTCACAGGCCACTCCTTTTCACCCCCATCCCCAAGCATCCAGATGGACCAACACACCAACCCTTCTCGTCCATCTCCCAGACCTGCTGAAAATAACACCTTCCGTAAACCAAGCTGCTCCGTGTCCTGTGTGTAAACACAGGAGAGCTGGAGTAGAACTGTGAGCAAACACAGCCAATCTGTTTTTGATAGTGGGCACTGCTTAGAAACAACTCCTAGGCTCAGTCATCCAAAATGCAAATACAGTGATTGCTCTATATTAAAGCCATTGCAACCAGGTCCAGAGAGGAGAGAAGCCACAGCAGGGACTGGGGATAGAGCTCAATGGTAGAGCTCTTGCTTAGCATGTCTGAGGTCTTGGGTTTGATTTGGAGGGGCAGTGTGTTGAGGAGATAGAGAGTACTAGTTGTACTCTGGTACATGGAAACAGAAAAGGAAAATAAAAGGTGAATTTCTTTCTTAAAAAATATTTTATTATTTGAAACTTTTTTTTTTTTTTTTTTTTGTCTTTTTGAGACAGGGTCTCCCTGTAGCCCCAGCTGGCCTGGAACTCACTAAGTAGACCAGACTGGCCTTGAACTCACAGAGATCCGTCTGCTTGTGCCTCCCGAGTGCTGAGACTAAAGGCGTGTGCCACCATGCCTGGCTTGTTATTATTGTTTTTTAAGTTTTTGGTCTTTTTGAGACAGGGTCTCCCTGTAGCCCCAGCTGGCCTGGAACTCACTAGACCCAGGTGGCCTTGAACTCACAGAGATCTGCCTGTCTCTGCCTCCCAAGTGCTGGGACTAAAGGCGTGCGCCACCATGCCCTGCTTTATTATTTTTATTTTATGTGTATGAGTATATTGCCTACATGTATATAAGTGCACCTGTGTCGTGCAGTGGCCATGGAGGTCAGAAGAGAGCGTTGAATTCCCTGGAACTGGAGTTATAGACAGTTGTTAGCTGCCATGTGGGTGTTGGGAATTGAACCTGGGTCCTCTGCAAGAGCAGTCAGTGCTCTTAACCAATGAGCCATCTCTCCAGCCTTAGAGGTGAGTTTCTTCGTGCTTCCTGTATTTCTCAAGTCCCTAGCTTTACTGGTTAGGATGTGAGCACTTGTCTTACCCAAAGATGATTTTTAAAATATTTTATTTATTATTTATCTTATTATGTTGTATGAGTGGCCTGCATGTATGTAAGTACACTCCTTCAAAAACTAGAGAATCATTCTTTCTTGAGGATATGGCCACTGGTGGGTTTCCCAGGCTCTAGTGGGTGGCCCCACACCCATGCACAAGTGGGCAGCACTAACTGGACTTAGTGGGTTATCAAAACAAACAAAAAACAAACCATGGTAGATTGACCACACTCCAGAGGATGGACCCACTGGAGTTATGGGTGGTTGTTAGCCACCATGTGGATGCTGGGATTTGAATCTGGGTCCTCTGCAAGAGCAGCTGTTAACCACTGAGCCATCTCTCCAGCCACCCCCCGCCCCAGTGGGTTTGGGGTTTCATTGATTTGTAAGGAGTGGATTATAAGGTTATTTCAGTTGAGAGCTGTTTTTTCTCTGGAAGCTTCACATAGCTTCATGTAGAATGGAAGGAGAGGAAGCTAGTGAGACTTGTTTCTGTCCATGGGCAGTAGGGGCAGGAGGTGTGGTGCCAGGGCAAAGAACAAATGCCCTGCAGGCCGCCCTTTCTTCATAATGACTCCAGCCTGAGCCAGGTTTCCTTGCGAGACTTTGCAAGCCAAGCTTTCTCATTGTTAACAAAAGGGCAGTGTCGTTCAGCAAGGAAAAGCCACGGTCTGTGAGTCTCTGCGTCTGCCAGGCTGGAACCTGCTTTCCCTGGCTCTGTGAGACACTTTGTCCCTGCCCACAGTGTCCCTGATCATTTCTTAGAAAGAAATCACCTTGGAAAAAAAGTCACCTTTGGAGCTGGGCGTGGTAGGTAGTGCAAGTCTTTAGTCCCAGCACTTGGGAGGCAGAGGCAGGTGGATCTCTGTGGAGGTCAGCCTGGTCTACATAGTGAGTTCCAGGCCAGTGGGACTACAGGGAGACCCTGACTCAAAAAAAGACCAAAAAAAAAAAATTCTTTATTGGAATAAAGTCAAATTTAAGAGACCTGGACTTCTGTTTTTGTTACATTTTTGAATGGTGTCGAAAACTTGGTCGTCATTCAAAATGAATTAATGTCACCTGGATGTGGACTGGCCAGTGGGTAGGTACCACCAGATGGAAAATGTCCCCTTTCTTCCCTCCTGGCCTGGGTCTCAGCTTCTGAGAGGCAGCAGAGCACAGGGCTCTGTTACCTTACCTATGTGGCAAGGCTCGTTTGGCTTCTTCAGAGCAAGGATTAATAATGTTTGTTAATAAACGCTGATTGTGTGCAGACACTGCTCTAAGCCTTCCCAGGGCTGTTTATGCGGGAACTGTGCTTCTGCCCTATTTGCTGTGACAGGGAGCGGTCATACAGCAGGCTCTGCAACTAAAGTTGTGGGGCTGTGATTTGAACAGATGAAATACCTCTGTACAGGGCACAGCTTGACTATCAGACTACAGAATTTCAGGCAGTGGCTGAGGTGGTCATATTGAGCTCAGAGGACAGAGTAGTTAGGCTAGGATTCTCACATAGACTCACACCCATTGAAAGGACAGGGACTCTTGTTTCAGGGGCTGAAGAGATGGCTTTGTGGTTAAGAGGGCTCATTGCTTATGGTGGTTTGAATGAGACATGTCCCCCATAGGCTCAAGTATTTGAACTTTTGGTATATGGCCCCCAGGTGGTGGAACTATTTGGGGTGGTCAAGGCAGCATTGCCTTGCTGGAGGAAGCGTGTCACGGGGGAGGTTTTGACAGTTCATAGCCTTGCCTCACTTCCAGTCTCACTTTTTGCTTCCTGTGTGAAGAGCGAGCACTCAGCTTTCTGGTTCAGTCACCCCTTACCAATGCTCCTTCCCCGGCCATTATGGACTCTCCCTCTGCAACTGTAAGTCAAAATAAACTCTTCCTTCTATAAGTTGCCTTGGTCACAGTGTTTTATCACAGCAACAGAAAAGTAACTAATAGGGTCAGTGAGATGGCTCAATGGGCAAAGGTGTTTGCCATCACACATGATGACCTGAGTTCGATCCCCAGAGCCCACATAATGGAAGGAAAGAACTGGCTCCTGCAAGATGCCCTCTGACCTCCACATGTGCTACATGGCAAATGCAAGCCCATGTACATACACCCACAGGTACACCCACAATAAATAAATAAATGAAAAATAGAAAAGAAGAGGCTGGAGAGATGGCTCAGCGGTTAAGAGCACTCACCGCTCTTGCAGAGGACCCAGGCTCAATTCCCAGCATCCACATG